TGGACTGCTAAGAAAATAAACAGATTCATCCTAGAGATGGTTAAAGTGGGCTGCTCCTTGGAGGCAAAGATTCTGAAGCTTCGTCTGACATACTCCGGACATGTTGTAAGCAGAGACCAGTTGTTGGAGAGGGACATCATGCTTGGGAGGTGGAGAAATAGTGCAGGAGAGGAAGACCTTCTATGAGATGGATTGATTCAGTGACTGGGGTAATGGGGGTAGGTGTGTCATAGACAATGCGATTGGCACAGGCTAGAGCAGGGTTTAGGGCTGTTGCACATAAGGTCGCAGGTGACTTGATGGCATATAACAACAACAAACAGTGTAGCAGATTATGCTTATATATGTGTATGTATGTATATACTCTGTGTATATATATACACACACACAAACACATATATGTATGTTGTTGTACATATATGTGTTGGCTAAGGAGTAAGGAATTAATTAGCCAATCTAAATGTATGCTGCTCGAATCATTCACCTGCTTAATGGAAGAAACATGGTATTTACTTATTTATTGCCTTTGTGCTGGTCAGCTATGGGCCAGTTCCAAAGCAATTGTATACTAGATCATATATATGGGTTTTGTGTATATAATGTATTTGTATGTGTGCATATATGTGTATGTATGTATATATAAGTATACACACACATATATGTTTATTTAAATAAAAAGGCCCGTTTAATCACCATTTTAAAAATATAAGTGGAAACCAATGTTGAAAATTAACAATAATCCTACCTTTCTGGTGTCAAGATCTGTATATTAAATTCAGATGAAATGTAAGCCTCCTATTCATATATATATATATTTTTTTCAAATGAACTCCAAACTTGAGAAACTAACACATCTGTGCTCAGCTATGTGGTCCAGGCGTGTTACACTGTAGCAGCGCCTGAGAGAAGCATTTTGATATTAATTCCTTTAAGCCTGTCTCATGCAAGGGAATTGCCTTAAGACATGTTAATACTTTACAAAACCCTAGGGCATAGATAATCTGCTGTCTCTAATCTAGCGGTACTTTTGGTATAAATGTAAATCATCCTCTGAGATCAGGAAAGGCAGAAATGTAGCTGTCACAGGGATTGGAAGTGCCATCGTTTTATTCTCTACTCCTGTTAGTAAATTTCACTGTAAATAGAAGTTAATTTAGGATTACTGTACTCTTTAGGATTGCTGTAATCAACCATTATGTATGCCTGGGAAAGTGCCCCTATCACAATAGATTGCAAGGAAATAAAAACACATCGTATCACACTCTGTCTCTCCCGTGTGGACACAATCATTTTAAATTTAATATCTGTATTTACAGTGGTCACCCTCAGAGAGCTGAGTGTCAAACGCCTTCAGTCTCCACTGTTGACAATATGTGGGAATCATAGTGATAAAGGACAGTGTTAGTAGAAACTTTTTTTCCCTCCTCCAAAATTTCTGATTTTCTTATTCCATGAAATGCTTTGCTCACACTCTCCTACCTTTGTGACCTTAGAGAATGTCCTTAACTTCTTGAATTTCCTCATTGCATAGGTTTGTGGTGGTGGCTGTGTTGTGCACTGTTGAGTTGGAAGAAACCCAAAGCTGACCCTCCAGTGGGTTTCAGAAGTAGTTTAATCCCACAGGAGGTTTCTGTAGAGGTTAAATTGAACAGTGTATATAAAGTTCCTAGTAAATTAACTAGCCATTTGTTAATTATACCACGGCACATAAAGACAATCGCATCTGGCTCCTGGCCCGTCTGAAAACGGTTGTTTCATTTTTATGCCATCTGTGAATTCTCATGATGATTTCTGATTGTCGCCTGGCTTCTTAATATCGGTACCTTCAGCCAAAGACCAAACCCACTGTAATAGGATTGAATACAGATTAGCAAGGAGATGGAACAAATACATTTTGGCAGCAGTCTGTTAGTGTTAGAATATTTTTTACAAAATTAACTGTTATAGTCTGATCAGCAGTATCATTTTTAACATGACTGAGGCTCCGATGTTCTGGTGGGTAAGGAGAAGCCCAGGTAACCCACAGGTACCTGGTTTGAATCCACTAGCCTCTCCATGAACGACAGAAGGCAGATCTTGTACAGTGAAATTGGCAGCCTCTGAAAATCTGCTAGAAGGTCAGCTATGAGTTGGTTCTAACTTGACAGCCATGAGAGAGAGAACGAGAGAGAGAGAGAGAGAACGAGAATGAATGTGACACTGAGCTAAGTTGATGATCTTTGCAGCTAAATAAGTGATCACAAGCGTGTGAAATGCCAGAGAAAAGAAATAAGGCCCAGATGAATCATTTTCTCCAGCAGCTGTCAGCAGAAGCTCATTTCTCTTCTTACTGACAAAGCTGCTGCTCCCACGTTCAGGAAAAGAGCAATAGCCAGTTCACCTGTATTCTCCCCTCTCTCCTCGGCGAAGGAGAAATTTCAGGTGGGACAGCATCCTCTGGCTGTAATAAACTGTTGATGATACAGACCGGAAGAAATAATGGTGCAGGCAGCCCTGTTCTCACCGCTACTGCTCAATTTATCCTATACTTTTGACTAAAAGGGGCATTAATGAATGGCAATAAAAACTGTTAGAAACCACTCTAAGAGTAACTGTTTCTGGGAGAGGAGCCCTAAGAATATTTGAATGAGAATTCAGGAACTATCCAGAAGACAGGAAAAGCAATAGAAGAGTGATTAAGACTGGAGATTACAACTCGTTTGTGATTGTGTGTGAATGGCAAGTTTTGGTGCTTTCATGCCATATTTGTGATCTCTTGGGAGGAGGGCTGTGTGTACTTACTGGAAGACGTCAACCTCTATGTGAAGTGAGGGTGACCTCTCTAGTCTTGGGGTCATACTTTTGAGCCAGCAGAGTTGTAAGGTTCCAGCACAGTGTTACAGCAACACCTTGATGGCCATCAAACTCTCGAAATGACCCAACGTTGACAGTGTGAAACCAGGTCTGTGAATTTGATCGTTGTTTTAGTCCGTAACATCCCTTACTCATCTGAACTCCCTCCCTATCACTCACTTGGTACACACCTTGCTCTCGGCAGATATGCTGAACTGGAAATACACTTGCTTGGATCTTGATGACTTTTGTACGTGGTGTGAATGCAATCTGTAAATATGGACAATCATTTTCTGAATTGCTGACCTATACAAATCAATATGGCATGAAAGTTAAATTTTGTTTTGTACAAGTAGATAGATACAGATGGGTCACAAACTGCATTGTCACTAAATAAGATAGAATGATAAGTAGTAAACAAATATACCTTAAGGATATTTCTTTGCTGTTTTATTCTCAAAAGTTATCTCATCATAATATTATCCTATAGGTCATATATCCTCGAGGGAAATGTGTAGATATGTTTATTTACCATCTTCAATATCTTGAAAGTTCATTTCTATTTTATAAAACTGCCTGAGTGTTTTATGTCTGTATATAAAACAAAATGTGATCCGTTATGGAAAGGTCTTTTAAAAAATGAGGGATGCTTAATAGACAAAGAGCAATTACTAGCTTCTCCTTTTGTTGGCAAGATGTGGTATCAATTGCCTCAGTGATACAATTCCCAACAGAGGACAATAAAACCATCTTTTTGTCTCTCTCCCTTTCTTGTGCTGTCTGAAATGCAGACACTAACACAGGGACACCAGCCATATCAACCACGACAACGGTGGAGATTCGCAAAAGCAGTGTTGTGACAACGGAGATCACGTCTAAAGTGGAGAAAAGCCCCAGCACAGCGGCCGGCAACAGCTCCTGTCCTTCCATGGAGACGGAGGAGGAGAAGGCAAAACGCCTGCTCTACTGTTCGCTCTGCAAGGTGGCTGTCAACTCCGCCTCGCAGCTGGAAGCGCACAACAGTGGTGAGAAGAAGCCTGGCTTGTTCTGTCTCAACAGCGAAGCAATTATCTTACTCTGAATAGATGTGATCTCCTTGCAGCAGGAGACGAAGGAGGTGGCAGCACATTAGTAATTATTATATGGAATTCATCAATGGTTAGAAATAACAATGCCAGCAAAACGTCATGTGTATGGGGCAGGGGAGGGGAAGGAAAGGTTCCCAGGGCTAACATGACGTTATATGAGTGTGTGTGTGTGTGTGTAATATTTACTAAATGGTGAGGAATAAGATAAACAGAATCCTAACACATATGTTTGGCACTTCTAGCACCTAAGTGGTTCTGGCTTCCATGGGTTTTTCCTGTCTGTTTATTAGAGGTTTTCATGCTCTAGCTGTTAAATGCAGCTTTCTAAAGTTGGAGCTGCAGTAGAATTGTTAAAATGGAACTGCAGAGCTCAGACCCTTCTGTTGATATTTACTTAGGCTTTTGTGACAAATAGTCTTACCTTGACCAAATCCATATGTCCCAGAAGGTGAAGTTAAGAAACAAACAAAACCATCTCAGTACTGTCAAGTGAGAAACTCCTCATAGGTGACCGTCCAGTAGGTGTGAAGAGGCTGTAAGTCACCTGGGTGGAGATTGTCCCTCTTTTCTCTTTGGAACCAGTTGGTGAGTTTGAACTGTCTGCCTTTGGATAGTCTTTGAGTCTTTATCCACGGCCATCAGAGACAGGTCCCCCTGTCTTATGCATAAACTTTGAAGCAGCACAGTGAGATACAGCTAAGCTGGAGTGAAAGGTATTTTCAAGGCACTGTGGCTCCATCCAGCTGCACTTTTTCTCTACATACATACAGATGCCCCACTGTAGACTATATCCAGCTCTTTATCCCCAAACCAACTTGTGCCTCAAGGACTGGGTTCATTGGACTCTGTCAGCAATTACAATAGAAAAGGAATCATTTGGGAATCATCCCCAGAGTTAGAACTGAAGCTGTAGGTTCACTGAGAAGTGAACCAGTCACCGTGCTGTGAGGGTAACGTTCAAGTCATGACCCAAAACTCAACAGCGTAGCTGCAGATGGAGAGCGATTCCTTCAGCTCACATCTGCCTCCTGCGCACCTCATTATTTGCATCCAGTGAAAATTCACCGGTTCAAGGGTTGAGAAATACAGACAAGCCTTTGGCCACTAAAATAGTACAGATTTGCTATGTTTACCCAGCACACTCTCCCGGGATGTTAGATCGTTCAGAGGCCATAAACATCACAGAGCATTTCATCAATTTCTCAAGACTTCTTGATTATCCCAATAGTGACAGAGACACACAGTCATGATGTGTGGGAAGGGACTGGAGGTAAGCCAATCTTGGTGGATAATGAAACCATACCTCTTAGACTGTTGTTATTATTGGTGTATACCATTGAGTTAGAACCAACCCATCACTGACCCTCCAGCAGGTTTTCAGAGGCAGTAAATTGCACAGGAGGAGATTTCCCATCCTATTCTCAGGGAGCAGCTGGTGGATTTGAACTGTGTGTCTTTGGGATTTCAGTGCAGCTTCCTACCTCTAGGCCACCAGAAATTTATTAAGAATCTGTGAGTCTTTCTGTGTTCTTAGCAGAAACATCTCATTGAGAATCAAGTAAGCATTATTTTTTTCATCCTCTGATCCTGTGAGGGGTTCGCATCAGAATTACTTGATGGACTTTGAAAATCTGTCCACGTGGGCATTCTGATGTATTGTACCTGGGGTCTGAGAAGTGTGACTATCTTTGGGGGGGGATAGAAGGACTGAAATACTCTCATAACTATTGGATAGGCAGAGCAGAAAACACTTCTGACAGTGTCATCTGTGTGGAGGAGAACTTTCCTTGAATCTCACATTTGGGGTGTTCCTTCCTGTCTTTCAGCCTGGTCGACCATGCCCAGTCACCTTCTCTTCAGCCTAGAAATTCCCTTTTGCCTCTAGTTGTTGCCTTCCTGCAGCAGAGAACATTTTGGGAAGAAAAGTACCCACCTCCTGGTCCCTGGCCTAATCCTCATTTGAAATCTCACTCGAGACTTTTTGTAGTGAGCTTTGCAGGACTCGAAGTAGCAAAGGAAGAAGAGGAAAGATTGCACACCTAGATGCTTTAGTCTCTCCTTGGGCTGCTGTCATCACCATGTCCAGCTCAGTTATTTGTAACGAACAATGTTGAGAAGTTCATGAGCTCTGGGCGGCTTCTAAATAAATACAGGTCGATGTTAAAATAATCCTTGTTATATCCAAACAATTTCCCTTGTACACTGGCTTCCTCTGTGCCTCCCCTGTAGTGTCTGATACAGAGAAAACACTGGGGCAGTTGGAAGGAGAGACTCTGTACACTTACTCTCCTGTCAGAAACAGAGGCGTGATTGTAGAATACGCCATGGCAGGTGTGTGCTGTGTTTTCATCTAGGTTCCCTTAGAAGTAATGTCTTCTTGTAATTAAAGGATTTGCATTCAAGTAAGTGTTTGACAAACCTAGGAAACAGGGTAGGGGAATGGGAAGGTAAGACAAGAACAGGAAGGTCATCAGAGGAGAATGCAACAGTTGTCCTTTAACCAACATGAGTGTGTGGCTTCCTAATGAGGAACCTGGAAGGCAGCAGGAAACACAATTCCGTGTTATACCTCCCAATAGCCTCTGTTGTAGTTGTTATGTGCCATCGAATTGGAACCAATGCACAGCTGACCCTCCAGCAGGTTTTCAGAGGCTGTAAATCACATTGGAGGAAATTGCCCATCTTTCTCCCACGGAGCAGCTGGTTGATTTGAACCACATGCCTGTGGGTTGGCCGGGCCACTCCTCGCATTGGGCCATCCGAGCTTCCTCAGAGGTAGGCTCAGAGCCAAGTGTTTAAACATATCAGCTCACATCTGGGGAAGGCCCCCTCCCAGGAATATGAAATCTCTGGCCCCACTCACCAGCAGGTGGGTGGCAAGGTGAGACCTGCAGCTGGACAATCTCTGGGAATGGGCATTTGGGTGTACGGCAGTTGGCAGTTGCGTTAGTAAGTTTTCGGAAGCTATAAACCACATGGTGGGAGATTGCACATCTTTCTTCCCTGGAGCAGCTGGTGGATTCGAACTGTCTGCTCTTGAGTTGACAGCACACCTCCTAACCTCTGGGTCACCAGAGCAGGTAGCATGTACTAAGTGTTTGAAGGGATGTGAGCAGAGGACTGGTCAGGTTTGGGATGCTAGACGCAACTAGCGCACCAGAAAAAGGGAGAGAAAAAATATACAAAAAATATGTACACACACACACGTTGTTGTTGTTGATTGCCTTCGAGTCAAGAAGAACTCATAGTGACCCTATGAACAAAAGGCCTGAAGCCCCTCTACAACTATCGACATTTATCAAAGTTCATAGGGTTTCCAGAGGCGTGTTGTTTAGGAAGTGGATGCCACTCCTACTTCCAAATATCCACATATATATGTAGAGATAGGTAGGTAGATGGACAGACAGATATATGGAGATATAGATATATGAGTATGGATATAGATATAGGTACAGATATATAGATTAGATATAGAGATGATATAGATAGATAAAGAGGTAAGTGTGTATGTGAATATTAAACAACTTTGATGGTGTGTCTATATAGAGTTGTGTTGCTAACAAAGGTCATGCTTTTCTATTGGGTCACCTTTATTTCACTTCCAATTCAACAGCAATGAATTAATTGAGTTGAGATAAACGTAGTGGAAGTGTGTGTGTCCGTGCGCATGCGCCGGCGTACATACATACGCCTGTGTATATGTCTGAACTGACCTCAAGTCAATCCTGCTACATGGCGACTCTATTGGTTTTTTAATACTGTAAATCTTTGCAGAGAGAGTCTGCCAACCTTTCTACCTTTAGACGATAGAGCAGTTGAAGGTCTGCATCTACCCAGAGGTATTTTAGACAAAAAGGTCCACTGATGGACTCTGAAAAATGAGCCACTGAAAACTCTATCGACTGAATTCCATTTTGTCATGACTCCGAATCAACCCCATGGCAATTGGTGGTTCATTGCGCCTTCACTTCTTCCCCACAGAACCCAGACCAATTTTCAGGGACAGTTTGGATCTGTTTTCTGAATCTGTTCTCTACACGGTGGGATGTCTCTGTCAGGGGGTGCTTCTGGTGCTGAAGGCATGTGGTCACAGCGTCACAGCCTTGCTGTGGGGGTCTCGTTGAGATACCTGCACACTCACCATGCCCCTTGGGGTGCTGCTTATCACCAGGGGGAGAGAAGAAGATACCACTTCATGGGTGGTGTGTCTTACAGAGTCAGAACTAGCAAGTGTCAAAATCCCCTCCTAGTCCTCATGAAGATGCTTTAGCAAAATAGACATACGTTATTTTAAAGCATTATTGTGTATTGTTGTTGTTATGTACCGTTGAGTCCCCTGTGACTCATAGCGACCCTGTGTGCAACAGCCCTAAACACGGCTCTGTCCTGTGCCAGTCTCACTGTCTCCGACCCACCTCCCCCCATTATCCCAGTCACTCAATCAATCCACCTCATAGAGGGTCTTCCCCTCCAGTGCCGTCCCTCCACCCTCCCAAGTGTGACATCCTTCTCCAAGGACAGGTCCCTCCTTGCAACATGTCCAAAGTATGTCAGACTAAGCTTCAGAATATTGTAATGTTTAAATAACACTTTTAAAGCATTATAATATTAAATACTTTTTATTGTTGGCATATTTTTGTGGGCCTCTCGATTTGAAGCATAAACTGGAAATCATAAATGTTAAGATCAAGTCAGAGTAAAAAGAATGAGAGTAAATGTTAGTTTTTAACTTAATTGCTGTCATTTTTGTTCATTTATTTTCCATTTGGATGGATATTGCCACCATTTAGAGAAATCTTTGGAACAGTACCGGCTGAAGGGCTGTATATTGAGATCTAAAAATCTGAGTTGTCTATGAGATGTAGTTATTGCACATCAAAGAGTTGGGACCAACCTACAGCTCACCCTCTGGTAGGTTTTCTGAGGCAGTTACTTTC